ATTTGGTAAAGTAAATCCGTTGGGCATCTTTCTTCGCCTTTAGACAATAATTCTGATGGCAAAAGAACCAAACGGGACAGGCAAAAAAGAAAAAACAACAAAAAACAACAACAACAAAAATAGGTACAGCTGCGAGCTTTAACAACAGTGTCAAATTATTCTGTGTATAAAGTGGTTGCTCAAAGGATACAGATAATCTAACCACAGAGAGAGTACACGTTTATTGTTTCTGTGTGTTCACAAATCCCTGACAAGGTCACTTTTAAAGCTACATTACGTAGTTCAGCTGCTACAAGACAATGATTGGGAAGAAGACTGAGTTAACTAGCTTTACTTTGAAAGTCTAGAGAAGATGCTGCTACATTAAAAGTGTAAAATGTAGACGTCACTGTAGCACATATTGGCCACTAAGTAGCTCTGCTTATGTTTCTTTGTCCAACTTTCATTCCTTTCAAACATGTGCTCATGTCTGCTGTCACTAGATACGATTACGACACAGAAGTCATCCAACAACCAAACTGTGTTTTGATCTTTAGCTTGGCTCAGCTGGTACTGGTGGCCAGTGAAACTGTGAAAGATGTGCAGAAGCAGAATGATGGCGAGCCCTGATGTTGTTACACATGCTTACAGTAGTTAATCAGTCAAATTGCAGATGAACTCGTTCTATATTCTAGACACGATTCCTACTAAATAGCAAACAAACCAAACAAAACAAGTTTCCTGCAGCTGACTTTCAAACTTCCCAGATCCATCTGTGAGCCTGTGTGTTTTGTCATATGATGAGAAGTGAAGCACAAACAGTTTTCAGGTGTTCCTCTCATCTCTCCATGCAGATGTGCAGAGTTACCCTTCAGAGGAGACATTCAGTGGGACAGGCTTCATAGCGCTCCTCTGTTAAACGTGTCGCCTCTGCCTTTGTTGACAGCAGCACAGCAAGGCTGGTATAGTTCAGCAGATAAACTAAAAACTACAAATAAAAACAGAACTTTAGGAACAAAACTTTCATATTATGGGATTACAAAAGTAAATAATTGAAAATTAGAGGAAATATCTTTGGATTTGGTCTTTGTTTGAAGAACTGGTGTGAGAGAGCGTTGGCGCATATTGAGGATGAGACGTGACATCTGTTGTGTCTTTTATAACTTCTTATAAAATGTCCTTGAAAAACGCACACATTATAATAAAAATGATGTATTTAAGAACCGAACACTAACATACTAATAATAGAATATACCACACCAAACTGAGACACAAATCAACAGCACAAAAAACTGTAAATGAAGTAAAAATATTTAACTATGATAATATAACTCATAGTATTATTTGATATGCAATTGTTCTGTTATTAAACTGTTTTCAGGTGTGCCTGTTCTGGTTGTTGGAGTAACCCTGGTGATATCCATGGACAAATACAAAGCAGACGATCATTGCTGGCTCAATGTGAAGACCGATACAATCTGGGCCTTTGTGGGACCTGTGATATTTGTCTTGACAGTATGTAATCGTATTTTTGCTCCCCGATTTTCATCTATTCAGTATCTTTATTGGCCAAGCAAACAAAATTTCATGTCGCACATTTTGTTCCAAATTTTATGAAAGTTTATAGATGATGTAATAAATCTTAGACATAATCTGACAGAATGCTGTTGCCATAATTAAGCCAACAGTAACCACATAAGTAACTCTTCTTATATTGTTACTAACAGTCGTTTTTAACAGTATGTGTGAAAAATGTGAGTTTGAAAAGAAAGTTTACAAAAAATAACATTTTTATTTGTAGCCACTTATATCCTGATGAAGAGACTTTACACTTTTTCTTATGTGTCTGTTTTTATGGTGTTTTTATGTTTGTTAAGAACATTTAAATGTGTTACATAGCAGTTCTCATTCTTTTCAATCACTTCATATTATAAGGTTAAAACACCGCAATATTAGAGGAGAATATCTTCTTGTCCTTAGCGGGCGACCAGCGGCGGTGGTCTGCTGCGTAACCAGTACGCTGCTGTAGGTGCCGCAGGTTCTCTTGCTTGACCAACGATTATCTTCCACGCTTTTCGATCTAAGGCGATGGTTCTTGCCTGCTTGAAGTCAAGTCGAAGGGCCTTCAAATCATCCTGGATTTGTTTCATCCATGTCTTCTTTGGTGCATTTCGATGCACCCTCCAATCGGTGGGGAGTAGGCCATGGGGGTAGCGGCTCGGGTCCATTCGACAAATGCGGGCAAACCAACGGAGTCGGCGGCGCTGGATTAGGTCGCCGATCGTCGGTTGGCTGCCGCAGCTGGTGAGGATGGTGTCATTCGAATGACGGTCGCGAAGGGAAACGCCGAGAACGCATCTAAGGCAACGCATTTGGAAAACTTTGAGCTTGCTCAGGTCGTGTTGGAGCATTGTCCACGTCTCTGCGCCGTAAAGTAGAATGGGCAGGATCAGGGTTCGGTAAAGGCGGATCTTTGTCGCCAATGAGATGTTGTTCTTCTTCCAGACGCACCAGCGCAGGGAAGCGAATGCTGCCGCCGCCTGCCCAATTCTGGAGCGTATCTCCACTGATGATGCCACTTTCTTCTCCTCGACGAGGGACCCCAGATATTGAAATTGTTGGACTTGTTTGATCTGCACACCGTCGAGGTGGACGATCGTTGGTGAGCCGTCGGTGGTCAGGACCTCACCGAGAGGAGAATATGATCATCCAAAAGATCAAATGATTCCCTATGAGACAGTGGGAAGGAAGAACCCGCTTTTAACAGGAAGACTTCAGCAGATCCAGGCTCAGGGAGGGAAACACAGAGTCACCAAACCAAACACAAACTGGGGAGTAGACAAAAATGACATCACAATGCATCAACAAGGAGCTGCAAAGAACCTGCTGCTCAAATGTGGGGGCAAAAAATGCAAATTTTATATTTTTAAAAGATTATTAAAAATGCTTTATGACAAAGTGCATTTATTTGGTTTGCTTATTCATACGGTAAATTTTACTAATAGAAATATATAAACAAATACCTGGATGTCTTAATGAGAGTATCAGGTCATTCTGGATTTGTTGCAGAATCATAACAGTGAGTGTTTCCTTGTATATTCTGTTCCCTCCACCTGACAGAGGCCAGGAGCTGAACTGAAATAACGTACACTGCATTCACTGAATGCTGTTTGCTGTGATTTGATTTCCTGCAGCCTGAGCAGAAGGGGAACATCTCCCTCCTCCTCATGTGAGCTGGAGGCCAAGTGGTTCTGCAGTGGCACGTCTTGTGTTTGCTGGAGGCCGTGTTGATGCTGTTGTCCTCTGCCTGCAGGTCAATGCGGTTGTGCTGTGTCGGGTTGTCATGGTGACTGTTTCCAGCGCTCGTCGCCGTGCTAAGATGCTCAGTCCAAGCTCAGCATCAAAGATGCAGACCTATGACCTTACCTGGTGAGATACAATAAAGTTTGTAGCACTCTCTGTCACTCCCTCTCCTCCTGCTTTTTCTGTGCTCCTACGATTTTTTTTCTTCTGTTGTCTGGCCAAACTCGCTCTCGCTCTCTCTCTCTCTTCACACAGATACACACACGCTTACTATTTTCTTTTTGGTTGAGCAACCCATGATGAATAGAGACAGTGTGAGAGACGGGGAGTTTACTGTGGGAGTTGTAAGTGCTTATCAGCTTAACACCTGGGCCCTGCACAATTGTTTCTCTGTGTGTGTGCGTGCGTGCGTGTGTGTGCGGTTGCTACAACTTTGCTACAACTGTTATTTTTTAAAGCACTTTTCTCCAAATACTTTAGAATTTCTTCTCACATTAAAGGACCAGATTGTTCCTATTTAGCATTTCTGTTCCTGTCAAGTCATCTTAAAATTAGGATACCTGAAAAAATGAGTTCCCCACAGAGGAAGAGGACAGCCAAATGCTCTCTGTAGATGTCGTACAGCAGCGGTCCCCAACCCCCGGGCCTCGGACCGGTACCGGTCCGTGAGTCGTTTGGTACCGGGCCGCGAGAGTTGAGGCTCGGGTGTGAAATGTATAGTTTTCAGGGTTTTTATCGGTTTTCAGCGTTATTTTGTTACCGTTTTTATTGTTAACTCGGTTTTCCTGGGTCTTTTCACGTGTGTTATGAATAAATCTTCTTTTTGTTCAGTACCAGTACTAGTTTTATTTTGTTGTATTTATCCGCAACACCTTAAAGGCCGGTCCGTGAAAATATTGTCGGGCATAAACCGGTCCGTGGCGCAAAAAAGGTTGGAGACCGCTGCTTTACAGTACGGTGTTTGTTCGTTTTATGTAACAGTCATTGTTGCCCTTAAAGTTGTGGCAGAAACAACAAAGTAACTATTAATTACACACATGTAAAAATGTATTAGCCTTCCAAATGCTGAGCAGCAAACAAATTCCACCCAGTTCTGTTTGCAGTTAAACTTAGTAGCTCTGCTACGATGTGTTTCTTTCTTTTCCTGTTAAAATGCAGATCTGTGGTGAGTTTTTGTTGTTTTTTACATAAATATTATTTCAGACACAGTCGAGTTCTCATTTTCTGGACAAAATGAATCCAAACCATTTGATGTTTACCCCCTTAATATCCACTCGGTTTAAGGTGTGTCTTTTGTTTTAGGCCCAAATAAACGTTACTTTTTTAAACAGTGCAAATATATTTCCCATTACATCCTATAAATGTTAGTTTTCTGCTTCCAAATAAGCAGATATTCTTTAAAAAGTGGTTAAGATGTTAAAATCATTACAGGTTAATTATTATTTAATGCACATCTACATGTACCTGTAGATAGTTTATATGTAGAATGTGCATTCCTCAGTAATGTGCTTGTCAGAGGGTAATGCACAGGTCAAAATATTAAAATGAGAAAGTCTTGCTGTCTGAAGGAGAAACTGGGATCTCACATATTTTATAATTTCAGATTCAGGTAAACAAAGTGCTTCAGCCCAGCATCAAGCAGCTCTCTTGCTTTTTATCTCAGCCCAAAGCTGTTCCCCCTCTCGCTCTCGCTGTCTCTTCGTTCCCTCACAAACACACTGAAAGTCTGTGCCAGTGTTACGTCAATGGAGGAGATTAGAGGGAAAACGACTTTCAAAAATAAAAGGGAAGAGAGTGTTGGCTTTGTCCTTGCAGACACAGTGTAGTCTGAAAACTCAATCTCTCTACCCAGGTGCAGCAGTGTGACAACAATAGTGGTTTGAACAAAGGCAACCTCTTCTGCCTTGCCCCATGAAATGGTTATTGGCCGTATAAGCACCGGGATCATTGAAAGAAAGATTGCAAAGGAACAGGAGCACGACTGTGGTAGGCGGTAAAAGGTTTAGCTATGGAGAGATCTTTGATGAGAATTCAAGGAGGAAATATCTGAGAAGAAAATGTCATCAAAATAAGTTGAAAGCTCCGCTCTGCTCGTTCCTTCTGTCTGTCCTCAAGTTTTATAACAGGGTTAACAAAGAGAAAGAAAAGCACTCAGGAATCAACACAAGGTGAAGTTTTCTTTCATAGGTGTGAGACCTCGAGCTCGCACGCACCCGGTGTTCATGGATGTTTCATGTACATGTGTGCTTGCAGGGCTGTGACCCGTCCAGTTCTGATCCTGCTGCCCGTCCTGGGTCTGACCTGGCTGTGTGGCGTGCTCGTCCATCTGTCTGTGGTAGTTGCTTATATTTTCATTGCTCTCAACTCCTTCCAGGTAAGCAAAGCCCCAGCTTGTTGGATATTGCTGTAATATTAGTGGTTACTTGCAAAGGGAAACAGAACAGCAGCTGAATTGTATTCATTTAGACAATGTGTTGATGTGATATATAATCTTTCTTCTTGATTTACTCAGAGAGGAG